GGGGACTTGAGCTCCCCATTATAAACAGAAAACCAGAAACCCTTGCCATAAATGAAAGTAACTGCCAAAATAAATTCCACGGAAATAAAACGATGGCACTGGGTCCCTGCCAGATTCTTGGTTGCCTGCACACTTCAAGACCAAGCTCTGCCCTCTCCTGCTGAAAAGCAGAGCTTGGTATGTACCGCGGCCGACTGGGGGTTACCAATAAGCTCAGACCCTCTCTCGGATGCTCCCAGGGCATCTCAGACGTGAGATCAGAACGGCCTCCCCACCACTGTCTCTGCGTTTTCTCCAGTCCCAGATGGCCCCCCTCAAAGTCGCTGCACAGCCCCTGGCAGACACTGTCGTGCGGGGTGTGTGTGACTTGGCCACGCGGCTGTGCCTTTGTGTCTCTGCCTCCCTGTTCCATGGAATGATCATACCTCTCCCAGAGGGCGTTAGGGGCAGGGGTGAGGTTATGCAGGCAGAGAGCCAGGCGCAGTCAGCCTCACGGAGAAGTATGATCACAGTCATCAAGGAGCCTCACTGTTCAGTGTCCAGCCCTGCCCTTGTTCTCTTTAAACAAAACGAAGATGCAAATACCAGAGAGGGCCAGTCTCCCAGCCAGCCAGCGATGGTCAGCACTGACACCTGGTCCCCCGACGTGGATCAAAGACCCTGCGTACCAGCTCCACAGTGAAGCCCGGGCAGCCGAGCACCCAGAAGTCTCATTCCACTTGCACTCATTGAGCACCTACTGTGTGTCAGGCCCAGCAGCACACACAGACACAGCTTTACCCTCTCAATGTTCTCTCTCTACACTGGGGGGAAAGCAGAATATACAGAAATAGTTACAAGACTGAGGCAGGCATGGGGGCTGGGGCTGCCCAGCAGAGCCTCCTGACCGGCTGGGTGGGGTGGGGGTGGTCAGCGAGGCTTCCTGGAGGAGTTGATGTCAGCTGGGTTCTGAAGGATGAGGAGTTTGGGGCTCGTGGACAGAAGGCACCAATGATGACAGGCCACACAAGAGGCAGGTCCTGGGCAGGGCTTTTGACCCTGAAGCACAGGGGCCACCAGCTCTTCAGAGCAGAACCCCCCAAATCAAGGCTGGGCCCCCTCCTGTGGGTCAGAGTCCCAGGCACTCACACAGCCCCTCTGAATCCAGATCTCCAGAAGCTCTATTACTACTGCTGCTGTTTTTATACGTTCCCCAGGGCGCCCAGACACCCTTGGGGTTTGAGGTCCAATACTGACAGTAGCTCTGGCATGGGCGGAAGCTGGGGGGCAGAAATGGCTGCAGCAAACAAGCTGTGTCTGTCCTCGTCCAAACCTCACCTGAGGGTCTGCTCCGTGCCAAGCCTGGGTGCACAGCAACTGGGGGCAGGGAAGCTCTTGGGGGACAAAACCCAGTCCATACCCTCCATAAAGTCAACCAAGGAGGCAGCCTTTCCCAAAGTGGGGTCCCAGGAACCCCAGTCCTTTAAGTCACCCACAGCATGAAGTCTTTGTCAGTCAAGGTAGTTAGGAAAACCCAACCCCTCCATCAGATCATGAGCCAGTAAAAGGCTCTGAGAAGTCCTGCAGTGGAGAAAGCTGGTATTCAGTGGAGTGGCCAGGAAGGCTCAGAAGGGGGGACTGTGGATGGGGGACCTGGGTAAGGAGGGGTAAGGTCTGGCCTGCCAGGTCATGGGCAGACCCTCAGCACCCCCACTCCCTGGCTGGGCAGACCACATGGGGAATGTGAGCACGTTCAGGCTCCACAGTCCCACCCCAGCCGGCCTGCCATGCCCAAACACGGCACGTTGCATCCCAAATATTTAGCCCCCAGCAGTTTGGGCCCATCGGGAATCTTCAGCGTGTGTCAGGTGGAAGCCTTTGTCACCCCTGGGCCCGGCACCCCCTCAGAGCACAGGGCCAGCTCCCAAGCCAGCCCCATCATTGGCTGGGGCAGGTGTGAGGCAAGCACCTCTGGGCCCCACCCAGGCCAGCCCATGATTCCACCTGAAGCCCAACATCGGAAGGGGACGCCAGGTGGGAGGCAGCCAGCCAGGGGACCTGGGGGGCGGAGGACTCAGCGGCAGGAGCTTGCTGTCAGACAGGCATGAGCTCCAAGGCCTGCTGGGCCACTGGCTGCTCGGGTGACCTCAGGCAAGCCCCTCACCCTCGGGGTGACTCAGGTGCCTCATCTGCTGCCTGGGAATGACCACAGAGGCGTCATGGTAATTTGACATTGCATGTGCTCCAGTGGACATCAGACACGTACGTCCGTGGGTACCACCTCAATTGCATGCGCACCCTAAGTCCCAGGGAAGGTCTGTAAGTCCCATTACGGATGAGGAGACTGAGGCTCAGAGATGTCAAGGTGCTTGCCTAGGGTCACAGGACTCGTGAATGGGCAGCCAGGATACTCTCCTCAAGCAGTCTTGCTCCAGAGGCCACATGATGGAACTCTGGCCTAACAGCCACTTCTAGGGGTGCTGGGGAAATCACATGAGCCAGTACAGCAACGACCCCCATCGCCACAACGGTGTGAGCTCATATTTAGTGTCTACACATTGGGCCCACCACTCACTTCCTACCAAATCCAACCCCGTAACATAGGTATCAGACCCGTGGGTAATCATATTACTATTGCCACTTTCCAGATCTGAAAACTGAGGACCAGAGAGGTTCAGTAACTTTCCCAAAGTCACATAGTAATTCACTGTCAGAGCCAGAATTCCAACCCAGGCAGGCCCCAGAACCCAAGTTAACAACCCTATGTGACCATCCTATGGGGCTCCCAGCACATCATAGGCACTGAGAAGATTAAATTAAAATGCCAAATGCCCCAGACCATGGTGGGGTACCACTTCTCACCCACTAGAATGGCAAGAATCAAAAAGCGTGATTCCATTTTCCTAAGGTGGTTCCTGGGGCTGGGGGCAGAGTGGGGAGTGCCTGCCATAGGCTTCTTTTTGGGGTGATAAAGATGTTCTAAAGTTGGCCATGCTAAGGCTGTACTAAAAGTACTAAAAACCATTGAATTGCACACTTTAAATAATAGAGTGAATGGTATGATACACGAGTTATATCTTAATAAAGCTATTACCAGAAAAATGGCAAGCGTCCAAATTATAAGTGACAGGGGCCCGTTTCTCCTTCCCTCACCGCCTCCTGTGTGTCCCCCTTTTATCCCGTTGTCCTTGGAGGCTGGGCTAGCCCCAGGATGTGCCCAGCTGCCTGAAGATGCTAGGTAATGCTCAGAGGCTTGACCATGTGCCCGGCTGGAGCTAAGAAGTCGCACAGAGATTAGCTCATTCAATCCTGCCACCCCTGGAAGTAGCACTGTTCCCCCATTTTACAGATGGGGAAACAGGCACAGAGTGACTAGATAACTTGGCCGCAGTCTCATTGCCACAAAGCAGGGCAGAGCTGGGATTCCAATCCAGGCTTCTGAAGTACAGTCCAAGCACTTTGCCTTTTGGGGTCAGGGTCCCAACCAAGAGGCCCCAAAGGGCCCTGCATTCCTCCTGCCTGTCCAGGCAGCCAAGGGAGCTGGCGGTGTCCCCGTGAGTGCCGCAGAGCTCCGTGCCAGAGTGCAGGAGTGTGGGCAGGGAGGAAGAGCGCCAGGGAGGGGGCACAGATCTTGGGGGGCCGCTCCAGCTTTTCATCTCACTGATAAGCCACACTGGGGCAGCCAGACGAGGTACCTGTGGGCCATCATCCCGGCTGCTGGAGGTCAACACACAGCCCTTCCCCACCACCCTCATCTCTCCTGTCCTACCCACAGAGACAGCAGTCAGCCAGCTGAGCCAGGAAGTGGGGGCAGACCCGAGTGACATGCCGAGAGGAGGACGCGCCCGGCCCTCCCTGTGCTCAGTCAAAGGGTCACACAGACACAGGGAGGGCAGAGGCTGTCGGCACTGGAAGGCGCCTCAGAAGTCATCCAGCCCCACCTGCTCATTACACAGATGAGCCAACTGTGAAGGCACCTGCCCAAGGTCCCCTGGGGGGCCGCTGGTGTCTGGAGCCAGACAGGTTCAAATCCTGACGGCACCAGCCATAGGTATAACCTTAGAGGAGCTACTTTGTGTTTATGAGCCTCAGTTTCATCATCTATAAAATGGGAGTAGTACATCCTGCCTAGTTATATGAGGTGGGCGGAGGGTGGGGATGCTCACGGTCACCTCTGGATGTACCTGAATCGAATTTCAAAGACCAGTTTGGGGTTCCAGGACTGAGCCGGGGTTCAGAACAGCCTTTGGGGGCCCAAATGCAGATTTGAGACCATTTAAGCTCACAAGTGAAGTACCACTCGTTTCACCAGAGCCCAAAACAGTGCCTGGCTCATAGGAACGCCCCGCAGATATTCGTTCAGTGAAGGAACGAGAATCCCCTAGCACGCTGCAGGGCCTCCAACGCGGTGGCCACAGCCGTTCATTCATGCGGCGGGTCCCCACGGCAGCTGCCGTCCCCGGCCCAGAGCCCTCACACCACGCCCTGAAAGACACATGGGCCTCGTCCCATGGACCCCCCTTTCTCTCCTGGGGACCTCTGCTTGCCAGTATTGCTTGGTCCTGTAATCTGGGCTCCTTCTGAAGAACAGGAACTTTGCAGTGGACGGGACAGTAAGGCCCACACCACCAGGGAGAAGGCACATCAACTCTGTGGGACTCCTGACACCAGAGCACTTTCTCGGGAGCCTTCCCAGTCAGGCAGATCCTCCATCCGGCTCAGAGCTGGCAGATAAAGCCAAACGGAGGGTGGTCAGCAACACACCTGACCAACCTCTTCAAAAGGGTCAAGGTCGCCAAAGACGGCCTGGAGGAGACGCAGCAGTCCTGACGACCAAATGGCACATGGGGTCTTGAAGCAGAAAAAGGACATTTGGGGAAAACCAGGGAATTAGAAAAATGTTTATCATTCTTTTTTTTTTTTTTAAGTTTCTTTCTGGATTCCCAGCAAACCCCTAGAGGGGCAGATGCTCCTGGGTGATGGGAAATGGACTCCAGGATGCCCACCTGTGTGGACAGGCAGAGAGAGCAGGTGGGGTGTCGCGGCCTGGGACGCCCTGGTAAAAGCTCATGAGGACGCAGGCTGCAGTGTCCCAGGAAAGAACAACAAAAACCAAACCAAAGAAAAAAAAAAAAAGGAAGGATTAAGACAACAAGGGGGGGTCACACCTGTCAGCCTGGGGCTGGGTCCCAGAGGGTCAAGCCCTTGTTTTCTTCTCCGGAGCTAAGGAAGCTGGAGGCTGGCAGGGATCCAGGCAGGCCAGGGTCATGGCCAAGGTGTGGCAAGGAGCCCAACTTACTTGGCCTGATCTGTGTATGAGACTTCTGGTGCAAGAAGAGAAAAATGGGGTGCAGGCTGGCCGGGAGGTGCCCTGAGGTTTCCTCAGATCCCCTGGGCTGGGTCTGGGGACACATTCAGGGACAAACGAGGACTTTCTGGGCTTGAGCCCAGAGGCGCCAGCCTGGAACAGGCGCCTCTTTGTGACCCAGGGCATATACCCGGAGCACTGGGGCTGCAGAGAAAGGGC